CTACAGCTGTCACCTCAACTACCTGGGAGCCCACCAAAAGTCCCACTTGGGAGACAACAGTCAAGTTGGAGATTCAAACTGAAGATGTGGGTCGTGAAGGTGAGGCCTTGGGTTTGGAGAGTAGGTGGGTTGGGAGGGAGAGACCCTCAGTGTTGGGTCAGGGGTAGAAGATGCGTAAAGCTCTCTGCTGGAGCCCTGAGGGAACAATTTTCAGATGCATTCGCAGTCTCAGTTTGAATGATATTGCTATGATATCTTATGTTCCAATGATTAGATTGAAAAAAAAACCACATACAGAAACAACTCATTTACCCTAAGTCATTGAAGAACATGTTATCTCTAGCTAAGTTAATTTGCTAAATAATTGAGACTTTTCCTTTTTAGCACCAAATTTTTTTTTGGTACAACCATTTTGAATGGAAATGGTTCTTTTAAGATGCCTTCTTAACAGAAGATATGAGTTCAAATGTAACCTTTTTATTAACTTAGGGTGACCTCTATGGTTTGGGGGGCTATTGAGATATACAAGGCTATTGGCTCCTGCCATAAATCATCCCCCAAGTGCTGTGCTTTGGAGATGATCGAGTCATAGACTGTCAGAGCTGGTACATTGAAACCCAGCGACAGAGCCATAACTAGGAACGAGGCAGCTGAAGCTTTGTAACAGGGTGGAAAATCCAGAGGGCATTGACAGCATTTTTCTCAGGATACTTCTTTTCCTTCTTGCCCCGTCCCCATCAGAGGCAACATGCTTCAGCCTCTCAGCAGCTGAGCTTTCAGCAGCGTAGAAACCTCAGAGAGTCTCAGGATGTGCATTCTATCCCACAGTGGAATGAACCAGGCCAACTACCATCCTTTTTTCTGAGTAGCAGCCGATTAGTTGTTTGCTAGCCAGGAAGTCTAATACAATCTCTGGGACTGCTTCCTCTTCTTAGGCTAGATCCAGATGAGCCTTGTCCTCTGCCACTTGCCCCAAGTGAAAAAAAAATGTTGCCAGCTTTGCCCAGTTAAGAGATGATGAGGGTCTGCGCTAGTGGTAATGAGAATGATGGGGACAGTAAGGATGAGAGACACACTGCAGAAGCCGGATTAACAAGACTCCAGGAATGATTAGATGTGATGGTAGCCAGGTAGAGATTAAGTGATTATCTGATTAGGACTAGAACCCAGGCCTTCTAACCAAGGTTCTTTCCACTAGTTCTTGTGTCTCCTTTTCATGTTTTTGGTTCCACTGCTCTGCCTGCCTCTAACCACCTTCCTTTCACTCACCCCACCTCTAAGTTGATATTTCTAATTTGGAGTCACCTGAAAAAACTAAAGCACCAAACAGATTAGAATTTTGTGTAAAGTAAGAATCCGTAGGTTCTGAGTAAGGAAGGACCTTTAAGTACTTTTCTATGAATCAAATGCATGCATGAACATTATGACATATGCTTTGCTTCAGAGAGCTTTTTGGCTTTCATCTGGGTTCTCAGCTGTGTTTTAGAGAAGTGAGGTTATGGGTAAGTGAGGTGCTGCCCTAACTCTTCCTCTAGTGCTCACTTTCAAAGTGCCCCTTTTACAGTCTGAGCCGGCAGCTAAGTTGGTTAAAACACCAAGGAGGGTAACTGAGGCCATAAATTAATGCCACACATTAACCAATGAACTTTCTTCACCCAGAAAAAATCCTTCTCCCAGCCACAGACTGGACCCCCCCCCCACTCCCGCCCTACCTAACTACCATCGCTTCTAACCTCTCATCAGGACTTGTCTCTCCTAGCTTCCCAGTGTCCTGCCCATCCTTATTATCCCCTCCCCTCCCATTACTGTCAGCCTAGTTCAGACCCCTCAGTCCCTTTTCCCTGAACTATCCACACAGCCTATTAACTGTTTTTCCCCTTTCAGTCTCCCCCTTTGGCAGTTTATCTTTCACACAGTGCCCAGCTGGGCTTTCTGATGCACCGCTCTGATCATGTTAGTCTACTGATATGACTTTCAGTGACTCCCTATAGGCCAATATAATCCAAATTCCTTATCCAGCCATTCAAGGAAAGCCCTCCACAGTCTGCTTCCATGCCACCCTCCCAGCCCGATCTCACACTGGCCTCTTTCTTACCCCATGCCACAACCCAACAAGATGACTCACTTCTGTCAACAGATGTGTGGCAGAAAGGAGGTTGGGTCTGGAAAGCATGGACCTAGGTTACTTCCTGCCTGTGTGACTTTGGGCAGGTCATTCAACCTCTTCAGTTGGATAACTTCAGAGTGAAACTTCAGTCCCCTCATCTATAAAATGAAGGAGTTAGTTATATCTAAACTCCCTTACAGCTTCCAAGCAGTGAAATGCCCTACTATGCTACCTCATGTCTGCTCATCTGATTGCTTCACCTGGAAAGTTCTCCCTGCCCCCAATTTGTCCTTCAAGGTCCGGGTCAAAAATCACCTCCCACTGAAGCCCCTTGCCTGGGCACCTTGGTCAGGTATCATCTGAACTCCCCACAGCACCATCTCCCCCCACATCCCCATGGCCATACCTCTCATGCCAATGAAAACCTTCTACTTTGATTCTGTGTCTATGTTTTTATCTCTCCTAAATTGTAAGCCTTTCAAGGGCGGGAGCCTGGTCTTCCTTTTTTTTTCTTCCAAAATCTCTAGCCCCAGATAAATATGGGATTTATACAATAGCTAGAGGACAAGCCACAGAGTGATTCTTACCATGAGGTACAGCGGATCATAAAACAAAATGTGGGTGTCTCCATGCAGCTCAGTGCCAACATAGGCGATGAAGCTTGGAGCATGCTTCACTGCAGATAAATGAGCAGGGAATGACATTTTGGCGGATAAAGGATGACATGTCTCCACTTGCTCATTCACTCTGTCCACTGAATGCCTAATTATTCCAGGTGAACAAATCCCTGCAGATTAGCCCAGGGTGCCTCCCCATCTTGGGACACCTTTATCTTCCACCATTTTTTCCTTAAGGGAAAAATGTTTACCCTTTAACTATTAGGTCATTTCAAGCTTTTAGAATCCTTTGAGCTAACTCTTTAGGTTTCAAACTCTGTGTGGCACAAACTTGTAATAATTTAACAGAATTATGTCATTTTCTCCAGAGAAGCTCCAAGATTCACCTCTTTTCAGAATGTTAGAGGTCACAGGCGACTTAGAAATCATCTCATTCTGAGGCACAAAAAGGACCTAGGTTTGGATGTCAGCTCTGCTACTCACTAACTGTGTGACCTTAGATAGGTCCTTTCTCCTCGATGGGCTTCAGTTTCCTCATCTGTAAAATAAGTGGGTTGGACTGGGTGATTTCTAGGGTCCCTTCTAGCCCTAAAATCTATCCATGAACCAGGACACTGTGGAAATAATTTGTGAAATCTGGCCCCCCAAAATTCCCATCTTTCTGAACTGGAGGCAGAGAGATTTAACTTCTCCAGAACTCTGCAGTCAGACAACCTTGTGTCTCTGTGTTTGCAGGGATTGATTCTCTCCCAATGAATAATTAGATTTTTTTATCTTCATAAAAAGCAGTTAAGAAAAACCAATGTTATCTCTGAAGTAAAGTAGCTCATCTCACAAAAGGGGGAAGCCCGCTAGTCCCTGCAAGAGAGGAATCTTCTCTTCTGAAGCAAAGGTTATTGTACTGCTGCTGCTGCTGTTACCACAGTGAGGGGAATTACTGGAATGGAGAATGATGAGAGCAGGGAGGACAGAACAAGGATGGAATAATGACCCATCCCGAGCTCGATCAGGATCCCTGAGACATGCAAGTCAAGATTCCCAGAGGCGTTACCCTGTAGTTGTGATATTGGGAGCGGGAAGTAGTCCCCATCTCTGATCCCACTCCAGGGCTCAGAAGGCCTGGCAATTCGCGAAGAAAAGGGAGAGGATGCCCCTGGCAGGGAGAAGTTGGCCAAGCAGCTCTCTCTGAGCTGAAATGACCAGGGCCAGAGCTGGGGAAAAAAATTCAGAGCTCGTTGCTGTGGTGATGTGGGAGGGCAGCAAAGGGGGGTTAAAAATGGAGGAGGTGGAAAGTGGAGGAGGGAGGAAATTCAAGGACGTGTTAATGAAAGGCAAAAGAAAATTTCATTCTCCCTGTGTCAGGGTCAACATGACAGAAATGGCTTTTTGCTCATGACACAAAGAGAGTTAGCAGGAGGCAGGGAAGGGGGAGACAATGGCAGCAAATTAGGCGTTCTTAGTATGGGGACCAGGCAGAGGCAGGAGGGGTGGCTCCCAGCCCCCAGCCCCATCGCTAGCTACTCCCTTTGGGGAGCATATAGGATACTTGAGACAAGGGAGGCCCCCTCCTCAGGAGGTGCAGGAAAGAGCTAGCTGCCTATCCCCATCTGGGAAGGAGGGAGAATTAAAAAGCCTTCCAGAATACCAGGGCTTGGACAACTCAAGAGGAGGGTGCTATCAATCCACTCTAATCCAGCAAACATTTATTAAGGACCTACTGTGTGCAAGGCCCCATGCTGTGTTAGGTGCAGGGGCTACAAATACAAAACAAAACAAAACAGAACAAAACAAAACAAAAAAAGAAAAACCCTAGTTTACATCTTCCCTAGTTTACTGGCTGTTCCCACTTGGGCTACCAGTCAGAATAAATCTAGTTGGCTGAGCCAGAACCCCACTAGGGTTTCCTCAGGGGTGTAATGAAGGGCATGGCTGGTAAGGATCAATATTCTTCTCTGCGTTAGCCTAAGACCATTGAATTGTAAGCTCCTGGAGGGCAGGAACTATTTCTGCTGCTTATCTGTTTCTTCACCACTTAATGCAGTGCCTGGCACATAGTAAGTATTTAATTAATGCTTATTAGTTGATAAGAGCTTTTGGAGAAGCTTCCTTCCTCCCTCTTCTCTTCCTCTGCCCCCTCCACACTCCTTTTCATACTTCCTTCCTCCCTCTTGTCCTTGATTTCTTCTCCTTTCCACTTTCTTCTTTTCTCTCCTAACTCTCCTCTTCTTCCTTTCTTTCCTTCTTCTTTCTTCTTTCCTTTCCTCTTTTGTATCCTATTTCCTCATCTTTCCCCATCTCCATCCTTCACCTCATTTTTCTGCTTCATCAATTGCCCTACATCTTTCTTTTCCTCTTCATATTCCACCTTACTTCTTCTTCATCTCTCATCTTCCTTCACTTGTTCCATCCTCCATTGTCTTCTCTTCTTCCTACTGCCTCATCTCCTCCTCCTCCTCCTCCTGTTCCTTTTCTTTCTCCTTCTACTTGGGAGACATAAAAATATAGTGAAAAGAGCACTGAACTTTGAGACCCAAGGCCTGGCCTTGCCCCTAATTAGCTGTGTGACTTTCAACACCTCCATCCCCCACTCTGGGATTCAGTCTCCTCCTCTTCAAAATGGGAGGTCTCCTCTAGCTCTGACATTCTGTGATTTTATTCCCATTCCAGATGGGTGAAAAAACAGATGGGTCCAAAGTAACAAAGGGACCATCTTTCCTTTGAAATGGGAAATTTTGGGGGCAGCTAGGTGGCACAGTGGATAGAGCACCAGCCCTGGAGTCAGGAGGACCTGAGTTCAAATCTGGCCTCAGACACTTAACAGTGACTAGCTGTGTGACCCTGGGAAAGTCACTTAACCCCAATTGCCTCATGAAAAGAAAAGAAAAGCAAAGGGAAACTTGAATGAAACTTGAAGTTCCCTGTGAAACGGACCTCTTCTTACTCAAGTGGAAAGAAGGAATGTAACACAGCAGCTAGAACACCTGGAGTTCTGGTGAGTCTAGGGAACACCAAAGGAGATGGAGGCATGCCTTACCTTTGGTGAAATAACTTGGATTGAGCTGTGTAGCCAAAGGCAGTTGGGGCAAAGAGACCAGAAGAGCTGGTATTTTGGCCTAGAGTGAATGGAGCCGTTTAGACTTGGAGGCTCCTAAGTCCAAAGAGCAGGGCACTGGTGGGCAATATCGTCTCCAAATCCATATGGAGAGAATTGTCAGCAACCCTTATTCAGAAAGCAGGCTTATCTCTGCAACTGATGTGAGTGCCTGTCAGTGCCTTTGTCAATGTAGATGTTTAATTTGTGAAGGCTTTTGTATTTGTGTGTGTGTATACATATGTGAACACGAATGTGGACCTGTATAACTCCAAGTATATCTTTGTAAATCTGTGTGTACACATGTATGTCTGTATGTACTGTCCTTCCTTTTTATCCCTGAGTACAGCTTCTTCCCTCTCTCTTTCTTTCTGTCCCTCTCTTTCCTTTCCCTCCCAACCCCACTCTTTTCTTTCTTTTCTCTCCTCCCTTCTATGCTCTACTTCTTCTTCCTCGGTTTTTCTTTGACTCTTTTTCTCACCCTCTTTTATTCTCTCTGTGCCTTCTCCCTCCTTTTCTACCCTTCCTCTATCATTCTCTTTCATTATCTCTTCTCTCTCTCTCCCCTTCCCTTTCTCTCCCTCCTCTTTCATGCCATCTTCTCTTTCCTTCCTCTCTCATTCTCTTTCACTCCCTCTCCTTTCTCCCCTTTCCCCTATGATCCTCTGTTCCCTCCCTTTCACAGTCAGAGTGAAGCTGACCTGAGCTGTCCCTTCTCCTCTCCCTTCCAGAAGTGATCCTGAAGGTGCTTGACAACAGAACCAGAGATTTGCTAGCTTCCTACCGGATACCCATTAAGTACCTCCGCCCTTTCCATCCCTACCATTTTGAGCTGGTGATGGTGAGTGTTCCGGGCCAGAGAGCCAGCTTTGGGGGCAGCTCTGCTTTGGCCTGGGATGGGACTAGGGCTGGGCTATTCCACTGCCTCTTTCCAGTTTGGGGGCAAGCTAATAGCTCTGTTCCCAGCATGTGATTCATTAAAGCACATGAGCTTTAATGGGGGGGTAGGTGGGTGGGTTTACTCTGGAAGTAGATAGGCTGGGACAAGAATTTATTTTTATTGACATTGAGACCTCCAAAGCCTTTGTCCTTTGTTTCTATTAATCTGTCCTTCCCACTACCCACCCCTCCCTCCAATGAGAATAGCCACTCCCCCAAATAAAGCCCTCAACACATACATGAGTAGTCAGGAAAAGCTTGGCTGTGTTTGAAAATGACTGTCTTGTGTATTTTAAGTCTGTCACCTCTCTGGCAGCAAGCAAGCAGACATGTCATTCTCATTCTTTGAGACTTTGGTTTCTCATAATGTTGATCAGAGTTTAAAGTCAAAGTTCTTTTCCCCTTCAGTGTTGTTATCATTGTATAAATGGTTCTACTTCTGCTCATGTTGCCCTTTATCAGTTGTAGAGACAGACCTTTTCCACCTCCTCTGAAGCTGTTTGTTTGGTTATTTTTCATGGCACAGAATATTCCATTATATTCACATTCAATAATTTGTTTAGTCTTTTCCCAATGGGAGGACACCTCCCTTGGTTTCCAGTTTTGGGCTACCATGGAAAGAGCTGCTATAGATATTTTTATAATGTGGGTCCTTTTATTTTCCTTCTTTGATTTCCTTGGGTGATTGGTCTGGTAGTGGTATAGCTGGGTCAAAAGGCACACACAATTTAATGACTTTGGAGGCACAGTTCCAAACTACTTTCCAGAATGTCTGGGCCAATTCACAGCTCCACCAGGAAAGCCTGAGTGTACCTGTTTTCCTTCAGTGGGAGGAGGGAGTTGGAGATGAGGGGAAAACTCCCATGTTTAAGGCCCTAGTGAGGGGGTAGGATTCCATTGCTGTGGCACAGTTCATGATTAATCCTTTTATTGTCCCTGTGGTGTTCCCCCTATGTGACAGCCCCATAGAGGTCAAAAGATAGTCCTGATGGCATCTCCTATTCTATTGGTAGTTTCAAGATTAGAATCCAGGTCTTCTGCCTTTCCATCTATCTAGAATTAGATGATCTGGAAGCAAATCCTGGTTCTGCCACCTACAGGCTGTGTTATCTTTATCAAATCATTTCACCTTTCTGGGCTTTGGTTTTCTGGTCTGAAAAATGAGGTTTAAAATGCCTGCTGCCCTCCTCACAGGGTTGTTGTGAAGGTCAAATGGGATTGTAAAGTGCTTTTTAACAGTTAAGCATTCTGTGCTTGAGTTATTATTATTATTTCTCAAATGACAATAACCCTTTGCAGTTGACTGCAACGGAGGCTCATCCATTATCTCATTGGACCTTCTGACATCCCCTAGCCTAGTTATCCTTGTCTTTACAAAGAAAGCAAGTAAGCCATGGCCCCTGTGAGGATGGTGAAATATTCAAAAGGAAAAGCCAAAGATTTATTATAATATTGATCTTTCTGTAAAGGTTCCAAGGGACACTGGGCTTTAATTACCAGCTTCTGCTCCAGTGGTCACTCAGAGCCACAATGGGGCTGTGGCCAACATTTGGCCACATGCAGGGCCTTGATTTATGGCTGGACCTGCTGCTTAACTTTGTGTTTGTCTCTTCTGTCTCTCTCCATCTTTGTCATCATCACTTCCACCGGTCCTCAGGCTCACAAGTCTGGTTTAGCCAAATTGTATGCTTCAATCACTCGGGAGAGCAGTTTCATGCCCCGATACATTGGATGCACTCACACAGCCTTAGAGGTAAGGCATGAAGAGGGCTGGTGGGAACATTACCTTGGGCTAGTAGTGACACAATAGAGGAAGCTGGGAATCGTCATTTGTGGGTGGGGGAAGAGGTTATGGGAAGTTTTGGGAAGAGGAAGATCTAGAAGGCCTCCCCTTTGAGGCAGAGAAGGAAAGTAAGGTAGTGTTGCTGGTAGGGGAGATGATTAGGGACCATTAAGTGTGATCAGTGTTTAACAACCTCTTCAAAGGGGCTGCTTTGGGGAAAAAAAAAAGAAATCAATCCCAAAAGTCAGAAGAGGGAGATAGGAGCAGGAAGAAATTGAGGAAGAAGAAAAAAGTAAGAGCCTGATTTTTCTTAAAAAGACAACTGATCTTACAAGAAGAGTACAGGTTGACTCACAACATATGCACATTCATGAAGAGAAGAGGAGATGACAAATGGTTTCGCTCCTAACCCCCATTGATGTTCACAGGTTCCTTATTCCTGTGATGCCATGAGAATCCCAGCTACCAAAATCTTCCTGGATATCTGGGAGAAAGAGGTCTTTCCCCTTCTCATCCACTATAGTTCCTGGGAAGTCCTCCTGGATTTTCTATGACGCCTGTCAGGAAGGTAGAAAACACACACCTCTTCTATGGAAAACTCCCAAGTCAACATCTCAGGGTTGCCTCTCCTCTCTTTTGTTAGCCAGCCCCAGCCCCAGTGAAATCTGGCATGCTTCCTCCTTTTTTAAGAGACAGCTTCCTGGCCTCACATTCTCCCTGTTTTAATGTCTCCATCAGCCACACTTGCCTCTCTCTTGTCTGTGCAGAGATTGAGACTGAAATTGAGCAAAGAATCTGGATATATTCTCTCCTATCTCTCTTTTCTCATCTATCTTCCCTCTTTCCTACCACTTCCCTCTCTCATCCACAGTTGGTGTCTCATCCTGTCCCCTCTTATCTGTGTTGTAGAGCCATGGAGAGGGCTGAATTTTTAGTCAAAGGACATGAGCTTGAATCCCAACTTTGCTACTTAACTGCTTGCATGATCTTGGACAAGTCATTTAACACTCCGGGCCCCAGTTTCCTCATTTGTAAAATAAAAGAGTCAGACTAAATGGTCTCTGATGTTCCTTTGTCCTCTAGATCTATCCCCTCTCACTTAATTCCCTCTCTCACCTCTATTTTCCCTCTTACTCCATCCTCTCCTTTCATCCATATTCCCTCTCTCATCCCTGTCTCTTTTCTCTTCCACATCAATTTTCCCTCCCAAATCTTTGTCCTTTCTCCCACCCATACTCTCCCTCCTCTTTGTCCTCTCTCTAATTCCTATTGCTTTCTGATCCCTTTATCGTCTTTCATCACTAGCCCCTCTCTCATTACTGTCCTCTCCACCATCCCTCTCTCTTCTCCCATCCATAGCTCTTCTCCCTGTTTCCTTTCTCATCCCCATGCTTTTTCCAATACTTGGCCTTATTCCCTCTCCTATTCTCATCCCTTCTTTCATCCCTGTCTCCTCTCCTCCTATCTCCCCATTCCCATTCCTCTTCCATCTTAGGCTTCTGCTACATTATCCCCACTGACTTCTTGACAGCAGAGAAAGAATGTCCCAATCAACACCCTGATGGGTGCCTCCGAGGAACCCCTTTCTCACTCCTGAACACACACGCCCTTTCTCTGTCTACATCAAAGCTGTCAGGCTAGGATTGGTTTGAACTCTGAGGCAGAAGATACCTAATTTCAGATTCTTAAAGAATCAATGATGACTATCCCCCTCCCACTCCTGCCATCTTTGTTCTTCTTTTTCTCCTTGAGAGAATATCTCTGTTCATCAGGTGACTAGAGGGTAAAGGTGAGTAACATTTCCAGGTGCCTATGTATGATTTGTTGTTCAATTGTTTCTATTTTCTATTGGGCTGATCCTGACAGTGTCTTAAGTAGCACTGGAAAAAAATCTTCCGTATTCCCAAATTCCCCACCAGCCTGCCATGGTCCCTGAAATACCTTCCAAGGGCTTCTCACTGACATAGCAAACCCCCTCCTCCCATGCTGAGAGAAGGGGTTCATTTGTTTCTGCTTACCCCAAAGGGCTTTCCTTTCTGCCAGAAGGAGGTGAGGTAGTATGAGAGCACTTGAGGGAGAAATCAACTAACAATAAGTTATTGAGTGCCTACTATGTGCCAGAAATCATGCTAGGTAACTGGAAATACAAATACAAAGAATAAAATATTCTCTACTTCCAAAAAACTTCAATTCTAATGGTAAAGGTAACCACATATAAAAATACATACAACATAAATTTAAAAATAAATACAATTATTTGTGTACAATACAAAGTATTACACATCCTTTGTATACACAATACCAGGTATAAACACAAATGCAAAGTAGTTAATTACAAAGTAGTTTGGGAAGATCAGGAAAGGCCTCGTGCAGAAAACTGTGCCTGGACTGCATCTCAAAGGAAGACTTTGTGAATTCGAGGTAAGGGAGAAGTGCTTGCCAGGCATGGGGATGGCCAGCACAAAAGCATGTAGATGGGAAATGAAGTATCATATGTAGGAAAGAGAGAAAGCAGAAAGGGCACAGAAAGAGGAGGGGGCAGCAGAGAAAAATATCTGCTTTTTGCTGAAGCTTAGACCTACTAAATGATGCCCAGGCAGTCAAATAAACACGGTGGACAAAAATTAGAATGGAAATCCTATGCCTCGTAGGTACACTAAGGAGGATAGGGATTTGTGCTTAGGTCAGGGCATAATTGATAGGAACATAATCACTTTGGGAGACTGAGGCAACCTTGGGGTGAGGGAAAGACTTCAGTGCTCCTCTGCTCAATCTCAGAAGGCTTCCTGGAGGCAGTCTGCTAACATGGCTTCTAGCAGCTCTACCCATGTGTCTCCTCACAGCAGCGTCTGGTGGTCACTATGTGCCTTTCTCCATTTTTTTCCCTGGCATCAGTCCTTCTGCAAGTGCCCTGGCGCATCCTTAGAATCCCTTAGGGAGACTGGGAGTATCTCATTGTAGGGCTGTCCTAACAGGAGTGGGGCCATGCTCTGGGCGTACACCACAGTACACACAATGTCCCTTGGCTCTCTTCTGCCCCAAGGAGAAGCCCAGTTCCCCCAGCAGCTGATCCATAGTAACTTTCCCATTCCATGTTCACCAACAACCTTTAAGACTTGCTCAGGGCATTCAAACCCCTTGAACTGTGGTCCTAAGCTATCTTTTCAATATTACCTCCTACCTCCCCCCAACGCAGTACATAATCAACGTTCAGTACCTTTGAACTACGAGCATCTGCCATATAATGTAGTCTGGAACAACATCATTTCTGAGTAAAAACCATTTATACATTGTAATTAAATTTCACAGTAACATCATGAAACTACAGACACCACATTCCCCAAGATGCAAATCAGCTTACCAGTGACTAGCCCAGCAAACTGGCTGCAACATTGTTTCACTGAACATCCTGTTTTCAGGAAACCAATTAAGCAAGATGTGCTTGTCCTCACTGTTTGCCTACCATCTTTTCCCATCTTCGTGCTTGTGCTTATGCTGTTCCCTTCGTTTGTAATGCCCTCCTAACTCTGTTTGCTTATCCATCCTTCAGTTGCCTTCTCAATTGCCATCTCTTCCTTGAAGGCTTCCTAACCCTTAATAATAATAGCTCACATTTATGTAAATATACATTATCTCATTTGATCCTCAGAACAATCTGTAAGGGGGAAGTTAATATTGTCCCCATTTTGTAGATGAGGAAACTGAAGCTTAGATGTGTTAAGCAATTGCCCACTAATAAATGTCTAAAACAGGATGCAAACATAAGTCTCCATGATGCCAAGTCCAGCATTCTATTCATTATACCAGCCTGTGTCTCTGAGACTGATGTAACCTCAATCTCCATAGCTTTTTGCTTAAACCTCTCATGGCACCTATCACAATTTGGTTGGCATTGGAGTGATTCACATACATGTTTTATTCTTCCTGCTAGACTGTCATCTGGGCAGCTCAGTGGCACAGGGGATAGAGCACTGGGCCCAAAGTCAGGAAGACCTGAGTTCAAATCCAGCAGTAGACACTTACTAGCTGTGTGACTCTGGGCAAGTCACTTCACCCAGTTTGCCTCAGTTTCTTCATCTGTAAAATGAGCTGGAGAAGGAAATGGCAAACCTCTCCAGTATCTTTGCCAAGAAACACAAGGAATCTGAACTTGACTAAAAAACAACTAAATAACAACAAAAAGACCGTCGTCTCTTTGAGGGTCTGGATTTCATTCATCTTGTACCTAGCACATAAACTGCTCAGTGTTAGATGAATGGTGGGAAAAGCTCACCGTGTCCACTGGACATGGAATCAAAGGGCCATACAATCCTGGCTCTGGTAGATATTCCCTGTGTGACCTTGGGCAAGTCACTTCCTTTCTCTGGGCCTCAGTTTCCTCATCTGTAACATGAGGGGTTTGGATCAGACAGCCTCTGAGGTCCCTTCCAACTCTACAGCTATAACCCCATTAAGGATGTATAGGAATATGCCCCAGGAGCCCTAGCACTTTAACCCCATCCTCCCGTCTGGATTTCTTTCCCCAAGCTGGAGAAAGCAGCTGCATCCTCCTCAACCCCTCCCCCCTGGCCATCAGTTATGAGAAGTTGCCTCTATGGGAGGCCTCCCTTCCACAAGCAGGTGAGCAGCCTCAGTGGGTGTGACACAGCCAGAGAAATTGCTTCTGCTGATCACAAGGCTTTGCGTGGGGGCAGGCGTCCAATTCACAGTACCCCAGCTCCAGGATAGGTGTGAATTACCGTCCCCTGCCTTTGGCGCCTTCTTCCAGAAGCTCAGCTACCAGTCCTCCCCAGTTCTGAGGCCGTTTCTCCCTCCCTCTGTGAGTAATAAAGGACCTAGGCCTGCCCAGTCACACGGCCATCCAGGTCCATCTCAGCAGGAACACACCCTCTTTGTCTAGCTCCTCAGCTGACTTTACCCAGAAGCAATAGATGCGGTTTGAATGGAGCAGTGTGGCAAAGACGTCTCACACACAATTTCTCTCCAACTGATGCATGAAATTCCACTATTATGGATTCATTTTTCTGAATCTCTAGGCTTTTCATTCTGTAAGAGTTCCCTAATGCGGTGCAAATAGCCCTAGGAGGGAGAACTCCTTAAGCCTCCTCAGTTAAAACCTTCCCGGGAATCAGTTGACTACCAGCTGAAGGACAGGCCTTGAAGGCATAGGGCAGAGGACTAGGGCTCAGGCTGAGAGCCGAATGAGGAGAGAGATCACAAATGAACTTCTGAGACAGTGACAGTGTTGCATAGAGAGGACCGCCCTGTAAGTTTCTTTGGTAGAGCCATGTGAAGGAACCCACTGCAAAGGAGGAAACTTTCATGAGGCTGAGTTCCCTCATCTGCAAGTAATAATATCTCTAGCTGGCACTTATGTCACATGCCTTAAGGTTTACAAAGCATTTCACACACATTGCCTCATTTAATCCTCACACCAACTGAGGGAGGAGGTGCTATTATTATTGCCATTTTGCAGATGAAGAAACTGAGGCTAAGACAGGTTAAGTGACTTGCCCAGGGTGCATAGCTAGTAAGTATCTGAAGTAGGATTTGAACTCAGGTCTTTCTGATTCTCAAGTCCAGTTGCTCCATCCACTTGAACAATGATGAAATGTATGCTGATGGATGCAATACCTACCTCATGGGCATTTGGGAAGAGTGAGTGAGTGAGATTATTCCTTTAAAGCATTAACAAATATAAAATATTTTTGTGTTGCATTCACAACAAAACTTGTGAATGTGCACAATCCTTCCTAGTTTTCAAAAAGGCCCTTACATGTATCACTGGACACACACAGCCCTGTGGCAAGCCTTATCTTCTCCATTTTGCAAGTGGAGAAAGTGAAACCCCAGAAGTGAGGGGAATTGTTTGGGTTTGCGCAGTTAGCATGTGACAAACCCAGTACTGAATCCCAGATTTCTGACACCCCAGCCCAGGGCTCTTTTCCTTTTAAAGTTAGTTGGGGTTAAGTGACTTGCCCAGGGTCACACAGCTAGTAAGTGTCAAGTGTTTGGTCTGAGGTCATATTTGAACTCAGGTCCTCCTGACTGCAGAGCTGGTGCTCTATACACTGCTCCACCTAGCTGCCCCCAGGGCTCTTTATGCTTTATCACATCTGCCTTCACAATGCAATACAAGTCAATGTCAACTGAGAGTGGTAAGAGGTCAGAAGGAGGAAAGGTCAATCCAAACTAGGGTGCTCTGGAAAGGCTTCCTAAAAGGAATAGGTCTTGATCTGGGCCTTGCAGGCAGAGGGGAGCATTCCAGGACGAAAGAACAAAGACACAAAGGCCAGAATGAGCCTGGCACATTTGGACAGACAGGAAAGCTAGCTAGCTGGAGCAAAAGGTGCACATTAGAAGGACAAAACTGGACAGGGAACGTGTGTTCAAGCTGAGCATGGCCAAAATTGTCAAGCTGAGAAGGTTGAACCTTTGCTATGAGATAACTGTTCCTTGATTCTTTCTGCATCACAAGCATCCATTCACCCACTGTTCTTTCCACTTTCAGGTCTTTCTCCATGGGGTCAACGAGCCCCTCACCAACCCCTTTGGCCCTATCATAGTGGTTGCTCGTGTCATTCCCAACTACAAGGAGTTCAAGTAAGTTGAGGATGGTGAAGTGAGAAAGTGATAAACAGTAGTGTCTCCTTTTTTGTGTCTTTTTCTAGTCCTGGCTTTACCCATAAGTGAAACAGACAACTTCTTATATGGTATAATTGAAGAAAACTTAAGAATCCTTTTTTCAAAAAAGATCTCCTTCAAAAGAAAGAATAGAATAAATGGGAGGGAAGAATAGGATTAAGGGAAATAGAGTCAGTTTTTCACAACATGTCTACTATGGAAGTGTTTTGCATAACTGCACATGTATAACCTATATTGAGTTGCTTGCCTTTTCAATGAGGGTGGGTGGGGAGGGAGGAAGAGAGAAAATTTGAAACCTAAAGTTTTAAAAACATATGTTTTTTAAAAATTTTTCACATGCTGTTGGGAAATAAGAAATACAGGAAATGGGCTACAGAAGTCTATCCTGCCCTACAGGAAAATAGAAGGGGAAGAGGATAAGAGAAGGGGGGGAGAGAAACAAAAGAGGACAGACTAGGGGAAGGGATATTCAGAATGCATGCCATCTTGGGATGGGGGGAGGGTGAGACGGGGTGAAAATTTGAAACTCAAAAACTTGTGGAAATGAATGTTGAAAACTACAAATAAATTTATATTACATCTCAAAAAAAAAAAGAAAAGATCTCTTTGACCTATGAATGATACTTTGAGATCCGTTCACAAAGTAACAAACCTCTAATTCCCTAGGGAAGGCTCAGGCTTGGAAGTCTCATGGCCCTGGGAAGGAATTCCCATGAAGGAGTCCCCTTGAGGAACCATGATTAATCTCAGAGTCTAATAGGGAGAAAAGAGGTTGGAGAGCTTGGAAGGGAGAAGGCTCCAAAGATTAGGGGGAAAGGGAGAAGGAAAGACAGCCACTACATGAATTCATATAAGACAAACCATTCATTTCATGGTTTTGTCCGGAAATGGTTAACAGCACATGGTGGTTGCCAATGGATAGTGTCACCAAGTCAAGACCTCAAGTCTTTGCTCAGAAAACCCCCATTCAGATCCAGGGGAGAGTTAGGATTCTGAGAGAATCTTTCTTAGAGAAGCAGTCATCTTCATAGGAAATACAGAAAGGTAATACTGTGTAGTAGTAGAAAGACCACGGGGCTGACAGTAAAAACAAGAAAATTTTAATCCCAGCTCCAACACTGACTTGATATGTTGCCTTAGCCATAATACTTTCCCACTCTGAGCTCAGTTTAGGCATCTGTATAATGGAGGTGATGTTACCTATCTTACCTATTTCACATGGTAAATGTGAGAATGGAATTAGATAATGGATATGAGAATGCTTTGGCAAGTACAACATGCTCTACAAATAGGAATAACTGTTGCATTAATAGGCTGAGTAGATTTTGTAGTGGGATCTTGTGTAATGGAGACCTAGTTTGTAATCAGAAAACCTCAGCTGGAATCCTCTACCGCTTAGAACCTGTGTAACATTGGCTAGGTTATTTAGCCTCTCTGGTTCTCAATGAGAAGCTTGGGCTAGATGACTTCTGAATTCTCTTCTAGCTCTAAACCTATTTTATGATCCTTTGATGAAAGATCAGGTGCCTGAGTGCTTCCCACACTTGGTCCATTCGATTCACAAAACATTTATTAAACACTTACTATGTGCTAAGGTACTCATGACAAGAGCTGAGGAATTCAAAGAACTGTAAGTACAAGTAATTTCAGGGGTCATCAATGTGGACACTGATCTAGGTATGGTAGTAAATGAAGGGGCAAAGGAGCGAAAAAACAAGTATCATAGTCATTGAGAGAAAAAAAGTGATGATAACTTAGGTAACAAGTGGGCCCTGAAAACTCTGATATCCCTGACTCTGGAGTCCTTTTCTTCTTTTCTCAGGTTCAATGGGGCTGTTGGGGATGATCGATTATGCAAAAAATGATCAGAGCCACCACCAATAAAAACACCCATTACAAGATCAATGTTAAGAGGCTCCAGTACAATAGTGGAAGCATTTAATTAATACATAAAGTAATGCAAATAAAAAAGGAGGGAGTCAATGGTCAATTTTTTATCCCCCAAATAGAAATGGATATGACCTCCTTTAAGACTTCAGGAGATTGGGGCAACTAGGTGGCAGTATAGATAGAGCTCCAGCCTTGGAGTCAGGAAGATTTGAGTTCAAATCTGGCCTTAGACACTTGACACTTACTAGCTGTGTGACCCTGGGCAAGTCACTTAACCCCAATTGCCTTACCAAAAAAAAAAAGACTTCAGGAGATTATAGTCTAATCCTCTGTCTGTCTCAATCCTATGAGACTTCCCAAAATACTGGGGAATGGACCCAATCTCTTCAGAACTCATGGTTCTTTGGTAAAGGCTGTCTGTTTCACAGAGTTCTGTAGTCTTTCTGGACAGGCTAGAAAACCTCTTGGTATGGACTGGAAATTTATGGAGCCTCTTGTCTCAACTCAAGGGAATAAGGAAAGGCTTCACATAGGACATCTCATGTGAGCTGAATCTTGTATGTAGCTAGGGATGCTCAAAAATAGCGGTAAGGAGAACATGCATTCCAGGTGAGGGTAACAGCCTGTACGAAGGCTCTAAAAGAGGAGATGAATCACTAAGTCTATGGAACAGCAGGTAGTTCAGTTTGGATGAAACACAGAGCAGCTGAAGAACAACAATGTCTGGTGCAGCTAGGTGGCACAGTGGATAGATCACCAGCCCTGGATTCAGGAGGACCTGAGGTCAAATTTGGCCTCAGACACATAACACTTACTAGCTGTATGACCCTGGGCAAGTCACTTAACCCCATTGCCTAGCCAAAAAAGAAAAAAAGGAAAGAAAAACAATGTCCATTACTGGCCTGGAATGGGAGGCTGCAGTCAGATTGTAAAGGGCTTTAAATACCAGGTGAAGATGTTTGTGTTTTCTCCTAGAGGCAGCAAAGAGCCGCTGGAGATTTTTATTGACGTCTTTTGTTTTTACATCCCTGAGATTTATCCTTGTATCCCTCTTTCCTCCTCCAAGAAAGTCATTCCTTATAACAAAGAATCCAAAAAGAAATAGAGGAAAAAATGAGCAAAACCAATCAAAACATCCAAAAAGTCTAACGTCATATGCAATGTTCCACACGCATGGGCTCCCACACTTGCAATGGATGGAGCAAGGGTGGAGGGGTGGTATGTTATCAATTTTTTTTCTTTGGAGTTAAATTTCTTCTTTTGGGATGTTTATAATTTCATTGCTTTCAGTTTCAGTGCTTTGTATGTGGTTGTTCTTTCCATTTACATTGTGTATAACCACTGTGTATATTGTTTCCTGGCTTTGCTTACTTCAGTTGGCACCAGTCCATGTAAATCTTCCCATGCTTCTCTGTATATGTCATATTCAACACTTCTTAGAACATGCTACTATTCCTTTACATTCACTATGTGCCACAATTTTAGTTATTCTGCAGTCGATAGACATCTACTTTGTTTCTAGTTCTTTACAGCCACAAACAGTGCTGCTAGAAATATATTAGTGTATATGGAGCCTTTCTTTTTGCCTATGACCACTTCGGGACATATGCTCCTGAGGAATGTCTGGGTTCAAAATATCTAGACATTTTGACCACTTTCATTGCTCAATGCCAAATTGCTTTCCAGAAATAGTTGGCCCAGTCCCCACTGAAGATTCTTAAAGAAAAGCATGACATAGTCAGATCTATGTTTTAGAAAGGTTATTCTGGCATCTATGTGAAGGATGGAGAGGAAAAGGGAAAGACTGTAAGTAGGTAAACCAATTTAGAAATTGTTTCAATAGTCTAGGAAAGAGGTGGTGAGAGCCAGGACCAAGATGGTGGCCACATGAGTAGAGATGGTTTGGATATGATATTGGCTTCAGGGACTTTTTCATGATTTATTGCTCAGGAATTCATCCCAAGAGACTACTCTCCCCTCAGTGCCATCCTTATGATTTTACAATACTCAGCCTAATCACATAGTAAAAATTACAGAGATCATTTCCACTTCCACATAGGAAGCAAACAGAAAAGAGGATTGTGGTACCTATTTTATAGCTGAAGAAATAGAGGCATCTGGGCTTGAACAAAATCACACAACGAATCAGTAGGTGAGCTAGAGCTCATGCTCAAGTCCTCTGTCTTGGTCCCCCAAGCCTATGGGTCAGTGGGTTTCCCTGCCCTCATCTACTATTCTTATAGAAAAGAAGGACCTATGCTGAGTGGAGCTAGTCTTGTCACTCACTTCTTAATCTAAAATGGAAGATCACTGCCCACTGCCAGGTGCTCAGGATAGCAAGGGACTCCACTTGTTCTTGGGTTCTACTCTACTCACCCTTATCTTTCTTCTCTTCCCCAGGGAGACTATGTTGAGCAAAGAGCCTTTGTCTATGGGACTGCCTATGAGAACTGTCAACTTCCCAAGCCCCTCAGTGTTGGCTTTTGATGTTCCTCGGACTAACGACCAGGGATACCCTCAGGTTAGTATTTATCTATCCATCCATCCATCCATCCATCCATCCATCCATCCATCCATCCATCCATTCATCCATTTATTCAATAGTCAGTATTCCATCATTCCTTCATATATTTAGTAAGCCAGTATTATTTTCCTCATTCATTTCATCATTTATTCTTGAATGAGGAGCAAGTAGAGTAGGAAAGGGATTGAGGGGTCCTTTGGTAAAGGCTGTCTGCCTCATGGAAGTTTCTGAGGTATAAATGTTTAAGGGGCATCTAGCCAACACAGTGGTTAGAGTGCCGGGCCTAGGGTCAGGAAGGACTCATCTTTCTGAGTTCAAATCTGACCTCAGACACTTACTAGCTGTGTGACCCTGGGCAAGTCACTTCACCCTGTTTGCCTTAGTTTCCTCATCTGTAAAATGAGCTGGAGAAGGAAATAGCCAACCACTTCAGTATCTCTGCCAATAAAACCCCAAATGGGGTCACAAAGAGTTGGACATAATTGAACAATAAGATCTCCAGCTCTCAATCTCTGGTTTTATGGCCTTCATGATCCTTTGGCAATTGGCTCTGGAAATGTGAAAAAGACAGGTCTTGGGGGGAGGAGAGCCACTTGGAAAGGAGAGAAGAACAAGAGGAGAAAGGTTTCAATTGAGCTCTGAAAAGGCCTTACTTTGTAGGGTTCAGACCAGCCTTGAATCAAAAGGGGTTGAATTGTTCATGGATTACTTTAAACCTAGTGCTTCATAATGGTGACTCATCTTTTGATCATGGCTTGGCCACTGGCTTTTAATAAGGGATGACAGCAGAGAGTCTTGACCAAGAGGAGACGTGAAGGGATGCTGTTTGGGATTAGAACCCAACCCCAGTTCTTGGGCCATTTAAGGAATAATTGGCATTTGACTGTTTGAAAAAACTCCCTTTCCTCTACCAGAGGAAATCTAGTAGGTAAGCATCCCCTGGTCCCTCTCAGCCTTAGGAGTTGTCAAGTCAGCAGGCTTCCCTTCCCTTCTCCAAGTCCTCCCCAACAGGTTGATGAATCCCAGAGCAAGTAGCATTCCTTGTTGGGGTGTGTGTGCTTGTGTGTGTGAGTGTGTGTGAGTGTGTGAGTGTGTGTGTGAGTGTGTGTGTGTGCTGGAGGGAGGGAGTGAAAGGCAGTATGCCTTTAAGAGCCAGCAGGGCCCATCACCAAGAAATCAAAGCAAAAGCTCAAGGTTTCATGAGTCAGTCTCGTTCTGTTCTCTCCTCCTAGGAAAGTGACAATAGCGGACCAGGCTCTCTAGGCAGTCCCTCTCATTTCCCCCCTTCCCACCAAACAAGGCCACCCTCACCCCATTAGAGTAGGCTTTCTCACTTTTCTCGCTATAGTAGGCAACTCACTGACTGCAGACTCACAGTGAAAGTTTCAAGCCCTAGATGAAGAAATTGCTGTCTATTCCAACGTAAACCTCCCTGGCACTGTAAGTGAATAGGCAGTCACTAACACTCCTAAGTCATCACTTCCTGGGAGTCAGTTTTGAAAGAAAGTAGGGGATCAGAGCAAGGGGGCTTTACATGCTGGAAGGCAATGGGGCAGTAGAGAGAGAACTGCTCTCTGAATCAGAGAGAGGGGATACTGCAAAAGGGAAACCTTTCAGTGCCTCTGAAACAAATATTGAATTCACAATTATACCAAAGGTCAGCTCTTCCTGGGGAAAATTTCCCTTCTTCCCTCCAATCCCCCTCCACCCTTAACTATCCTGTCTCTTTTTCAGGAGACATCCAGGAGGGAGAGTAGACAGACTTCCCCATTATGAGGAGGAGTAGGAAGGGATACTGGCAAACTCTATTCAAAGACTTGTACCCATGGAAACCACTGGCCTTGTATTAAAGGCCAAGACTTTTGAAGGCTGATCATAGACAAAGAAGAATGATTGGTAGACTGAAGGGGAGTGTGTGCAAAGACAGCGAGGTGGGGAGAGGGGAAAAGGGAAGAACGAAGCCCTGTAGATAGGAAGCCTTATTCTCAACCAATTCTCCGCTGTATTTCCTGTCAAGAGCTACATACTTCGAACATGGTCCTGCATTTAGCCAGCGAATTATTAACCAATCAGACTGAACCCATGAGGCTGGAGACAATCAATTTTAATGAGTATTCTTTCCCTCTGGGATCTCCATTGTGATTGCCACTGCTGCCTCTCTGAGCAAGTGTGATCCAAGCACCTCTCACTCCAGTGATTAATGGTTTTTCCCATTTTTCTCATCTTGAGGTGTATGTGGGACTTTGATCCCAGAGACAGTTGGCCACTTGCTGAAGGTCACACAGTATGGTGGCGCCTATGTGTGATAGCCATTGAGATGCTCCATATAGATACAATAAGAGGACAGAGACAGAACGCTGAAGGGTCCTGGGCTGAGAATTTTCCTAAAGATTGCTTTGCTAGTAACAATAACTAGCATTTATGTAGCACCTACCATGCGTCAGGCACTTTACAAATATTATCTCACTTGATCCTCACAACCACCCTGTAAGATAGGTACTAATTATTATCTCCATTTTATGGTTGAAGAAACTGAGGTAGACAGAGATTAAATGGCTTTCCCAAGGTCATATAACTAGGAAGTATTCGAGGCTACATTTGAACTCAAGTTTTCTTGACTCCAGGCCCAGCATTTTATCTACTGTTCCACAGAGCTGCCTTTACTCATGAGCAAGTATAAAATATCTTTCTCTGAAGCAGCTTCCTCCTCCTCCTCCTCCTCCCTCTCTCCCTCTTCCTCCTTCTCCTCTGTCGTCATCATTGTCTTCTTCTTCTTCTTCTTCTTCTTCTTCTTCTTCTTCTTCTGCTTCTTCTGCTTCTTCTTCTTCTTCTTCTTCTCCTTCTTCTTCTTCTTCTTCTTCTTCTCCTTCTTCTTCTTCTTCTTCTTCTTCTTCTCCTTCTTCTTCTTCTTCTTCTTCTTCTGCTTCTTCTGCTTCTTCTTCTGCTTCTTCTTCTTCTGCTTCTTCTGCTTCTTCTTCTTCTTCTTCTTCTTCTTCTCCTTCTTCTTCTTCTTCTTCTTCTCCTTCTTCTTCTCCTTCTTCTTCTTCTTCTTCTTCTTCTCCTTCTTCTTCTTCTTCTCCTTCTTCTTCTTCTTCTTCTCCTTCTTCTTCTCCTTCTTCTTCTTCTTCTTCTTCTCCTTCTTCTTCTTCTTCTTCTGCTTCTTCTGCTTCTTCTTCTTCTTCTTCTTCTTCTTCTTCTGCTTCTTCTTCTTCTTCTTCTTCTTCTTCTCCTTCTTCTTCTTCTTCTTCTTCTTCTTCTTCTGCTTCTGCTTCTTCTGCTTCTTCTTCTTCTTCTACTTCGGAAGGAGGTGCTATTATCACCGTCATTTAACAGATGATGCAATGTGATTTGCCTAGAGTCACACAGCTAGTTAGTATATGAGGAAGGATTTGAACTTAGGTCTTCTTGACTCCAAGTCCAATGTTCTCTTCACTTTGATACCTAGCAGCTTCTACTACTGTCAATAATAATAATGAATGTGGTTAGATACAGTGTGTCCTAGAAGCTATTAAAGACTTTAATACACCTTGCATGGTGTTTTTCAGGAACAAAGTGCCTTCACAGGCATTGTCTCATTTGGGTCTTATGGTAGTACATGATATAAGTATTTATATCCCAACTTGACAATGGAGAAAACCAAGCCTCGGAGAAGGGAAATTAGTTTCTTGAGATCTTGTAGCTAATAAGTAGTAAAGGTGAAACTCGAACCCAGATCTCTTGCCTCCCAGCCAAGTCTCTATCCTTCACACTGGAGGATCATCAGCCTTCTGATTAGTCTTGTTGCAGTTGGCACTAGGTGGCAGAGGGGAACAAACTGCCCCTACCACTGCCTCCCAAATTAGCCATTGTGGTCTGGAGAGATGGCATTTTTCTAACCAATTAAGGCTAGTTAGATCAGTTACTTAGTTTAAGATCCTAATAGTGGTCTGAATCCCTTTGTGGCCATTTTAATTTGACTACCCAACTGCCACTCCAATTGAAAATGCTCTCTCCCTTCACACATTTCCCTAGAACATTTCTTCTGGATCTCTCCCTTACCCTCTAGCAAATCTTTACCTTGTATTATACTGATCTGTGTACAAGTTATGTTTCCTCCCCACCCCCCACCAAAAAACTGTAAGCTCATTTCAGGCAGGGGCAGCATCAATTTGGTATGAAGAATCCCTAGTGTCCAAAATTGTGTCTTACACATAATTACTACTTTATAAATATTGGTTCAATTTAATTTGGCTCAACAAGAATTAATTAAGTAGTTGCTATGTATGAGGCTACCCAAGGTACTGGGGTACAAAGACAAAAACAGGTGTCCATGGCCTCAAGGAGGTTACGTTGTACTAGGAGAAGACAGCTGCCAAGGTAAAGTACCACAGTTCCCTAATTGGGAAGACAAACCACATTGAGAAATTTGTTTTTATCATAAGCCGTTGCTTGACAACGTCCCTGTCAGCCAAGTGAATCCTGAATACAAACAACTTCATATATATATATATATATGCATATCTATGTAGATACAGATAATGAGATACTGTATCTATGTAGATACAGATGAATGGAGATGGAGATGATAGAGACAGAGATAGAGATGATAGAGGTAGAGATAGAGATGAAGATGGTAGAGTGAAATGTAAAAATGAGAAAGGCAGAGATAGAGATAGTGATAGAGACAGAAAGAGATGATAGATGTAGAGATAGAGATGAAGATGGTAGAGTGAGATGTAAAAATGAGAAAGGCAGAGATAGAGATAGTGATAGAGACAGATAGAGATGATACAGGTAGAGACAGAAATGAAGATGATAGGTAGAGATGAGAAAGGCAGAGATAGAGATAATGATAGAGACAGAGAGAGATGATAGAGGTAGAGATAGAAATGAAGATGATAGAGAGGCAGAAATAAGAAAGGCAGAGATGGAGATAGTGATAGAGACAGAGAGAGATGGAGATAATAGAGATAAAAGCAAAAGAAATGGAAGGTAATTTGTTCTAGTCTTGAAGGCTGGGCAAAGGCTTACTAATCTTTTGTTGGGGGGGGGGTTGGAGAGCAAAGTAACATTGGTTTTCTCTATGACTAACATAACAAGCAAAATGAGGAGGACAAGGACAAGAAGGAGGAGGACAAGGATGAGGAGGACAAACACAGGAAGGTCAAGGGTGGATGTCACTGCTCATTTGCGTAAAATGGATATGTGTCACTTGAGCCAGAAGAGGGATGGTACAAGACCTGTCTCTTTGCCTTCATGCAATGTGTACACAAATCAGTAAATACAAAGTCTTTGGGGGAAGGAATGAAAGCACTAACCACTGGAGGAGAGCAGACGACCTGTTGTGAGGTGGCACAGGAGCTGGAGGGGTACAAGGGATTTTCAGAGTGGAGGTGAGGAGGGAGAACATTCCAAGCCTCAGAACAGCCTGTACAAAGTCACTGATGTGGGAGGTGGAATGTTGTGTGTGGGAAATAGCGTAGCAGCCAGTTTGCCATAATGTGGAGTGTGTGAAGGAAGGAATAATTTTCTCTAGAAAGAGAAAATGGAACCGGATTATGAAAGGTTTTATAGGTCAAAGAGCCAAGTTTATATGGAATTGAACTGGCAAAGAATTCAGCTTAGGTTGAAGGGGGATCAGTCATGGGAATAGGGATGTCTTCATGTCCTCCGAGATGATCCATGGTCTCCAAAGTAGAGGCAGTTGCAGGCCCTTATTACATAATCCCAGAAGCCACATTCCTGCAGTCTTCTTTCTCCTCCTACCCCAATGTGTTCCCAGACCACTTAAACATTCCCTTCCTAGCTTGAGCTGTGTTCTGCTGGTGGGGTTAACTGAGGAGTTAGGATGGCAAAAGACCTTAGAAAGCAAACTCCTTATTTTAAAGACGGGCAGATGTTGTAGCTCCAACTGGGCCTATGACTTGCCAGAGATGGCACAGGTACTCATGTCAGAGCTGGGATTTGAACCAGGTCCTCTGATTCTACCACCCATGCATTTCTCACTACACAACTCTGCCTCCAAATGGGCATGAAAGAACAAGCAGCTGAGGAAAGATACATCCATTTCCTCTGAATGTGCTCTTTTCTCACGATGACAGTGTATCCCCTGATCCCCAGAACTACTTAACTGAAGTCAAGATCCAGGACTTTCCCCCCTGACCTATGACTATAGAGACATGTCCTGTACCAATGGAGAGGGGCTTTAAAACAGTTGTGCCAGTAACTTTGATCCAAAGGGTAGGCAGGGTGTATCATGGAAATATCACTGTTTTGAGTGTCAGAAGATCTGAGTTCAAGTCCTGGCTCTTCCACTCATGATCTGTGATGCTGGGTAAGTCCCTTAACCTCTGTAGGTTTCATTTTCCTATAAAATGACGAGGACTGTTTTAGGTCTCCAAGGTTCCTTCCGGGTCAAAAGACTGATGAGTCTATCTATGAGGAGGAGTAGGGGAAGGACAGGATTTCAGTGTAAGGAACAAAGTTACAGAGGGACCTTCTCGCATCCCTACTCAGGACTGTCAGAGCCCCCTTGGGTTCACTTGAGAAAGCCCAGGCAAGCGATGTATTCCCGTTATCACAACCCCTGACATTTGTGTGGGGCTTGTTTTCCAAGCCCCATTCTCTCCATTTTAGAGATCAATAAACAGAGGCCTTAGAGAAGATAACTCCCAGATGACAGTTCAAGGTCACACAGTGAATAACAGAACTTGGACCAGGTCTCAGGTTTGCAGGCCAGTTCAGGACTCTTTCCTCCACCACCGTCTGCCTCTGGCACACACAGGATATCTGGGCAAAGGACCTTAGGCGTCTCCTTGTTCAACCTCTTCATTTTCTAAAGGAGAAAACTTGGGCTCAGAGAGGAAAATAACTAATCCAAGATCACACAGCAAGGTAGTGACCCCATTTTTAATGGGGAAGGGAAAGGACTGTGGGGGGTGGAAATAATGTGGGACCCCTAGAGGGAAGCATAAAGGAGGATGTAGGAAGGCAGCCACTTGCCTCATTGCTGAGCCCAGAAAAGCCCTGATAATGGCCCAGAGGAAGGAGTCCTGGTCCTGGGCTCAGGGGAGGGTGCTCTGGTCACAAGGGTTAATGGGTTTACTGAGGTCACATTTACACCAGTTAATCATATTCACTAATTCCACCATTCCAGCATGCCATCAGGCCTGTCCCTTTCCATTAGCATCTTTCAGACAATGGCTTCCCCAACCCCCATTTCACCTTCAGCCAAGCAGCAGTTCACCCATACCAGTGGCAAAGGATTTAACTCTTTGAGGAACACCCTTAAGGACACTCCATTCTTTGCTCCTGTCCTCATGTTAGGAATAAGGGTGATCAAATATTGGAGTAAGACGAATAACATAAGGGATCAGTCTGTAATCAGGACTAGTGATGAATGAATGAATGAATGAATGAATAAAGAATTAATTAAACATTTACCATGTGCCAGTCAGTTTTATAACATTTATTAAGTTACTACTATATATAAGGCTCTGTGCTAAGTATTGTGGATACAAAAATAAAATAAATAAAGCAAAAGACAGACCTTGCTCTCAGGGAGCTTACAATCTAATGGGAGAGACAACATGCAAACAACTATGTACAAATAAGATATATACAGGATAAATTGAATGTAGTCTCAGAGGGAAAGTTCGATTCTCTCCAAAAGGGAAGATTAAGGAGAATGAGGAAAATCTTCCTGCAGATGGCAGGACTTTAGCTGAGATTTGTAGGAAACCAGGGAAGCTAGAAAGTGAAGATGAGGAGAAAGAGTATTCCAGGCATTAGGGACAGCCAGTGAAAACACTGGGAGTCTAGTGTGTGCTGAGGGAGAAAAAGCAAGGAGACAAAATATGAGGAGGGGGAGTAAGGGGTAAGAAGACAGTAAAGGTACAGAAGAGTCAAGTTACAAAGGGCTTTAAAAGTCCAATGGAGGATTTTATATCTAATCCTGGAAGTAATCAGGAGCCACTGGAGTTTAGTGAGTAGGGATGATGGGGGTGAAGGGTGGAATGTGATACACCCAGCTTGCACTTTAAGAAAATCAATTCGACAGCTGAATGGAGAATGGACTGGACTGGGGAGAGATTTGAGGCAGACAGACCCACCCACAGACCCACCGTGCAATAATCCAGGTGTGAGGTAATGATGGCCTACAGCCAGGTGGCTGCTGTGTCAGAAAAGAGGAGGGGAGGCTATGAGAGATGTTAAGAAAGTGGAAGTAACAGCACTTAACAACTGATTGGATGGGGGTGGGAGAGAGAGCTAAGGGCTGTGATTGATCAGTTTTATGTCTTTACTTAAAGATCTCTAGCTCTTTAGTGAGAGCTCTACATCCCATTTTTGAAGTGGCTCTCATTAATAATATTATTCATAATAGCCAGCATGTATAAGGCACTTTTAAGATTTCCTAGAAGCTTTATGTATGTTACCTCATTTGATCCTCCCAACAACCCTATAAGGTAGGTGCTGTTATTAGCCCCATTGTACAGATGAGGAAACTGAGGCTGAGAAAAATTAAGTGACTTGTCCAGTGTCACACAACTAATAAGTGACTAAGGCAGGATTTTCAATCTCAGCTCTATCCACTCCACCACCTAGACATTTATTAGGAAGTTCTATTTTATAATGGCTGAAATTTCTTTCCCTGAAATACCCACTCTTTGGTACTAGCTCTCCTCTCTGGGACTAAGGAGTACAAGTATACTTCCTCTTCCATCTGTCAAGCCTTTAAATATATGAAGAGCATGACCATGTCCATTCCATGTCCATGTCCATGTCCATTCCAAGCTACACACTTTTAGTTCCTTCAAATGAGCCCTGAATGTCCATGACATCCATTCTTCTCATCATGCTAGTTGTCCTCCTCTGGATTCTCCCTTTCCTTAATGTACATCCTGAAAATTGGTGCCCAAAATTGGGCACAATACTCCAGGTGTGGTCTGACCAGGACAGAGAACAGTAGAACCATAATCACCCTTATTCTAGCCTTAGTTAAGGCTGCCTATGCTCACACTAATTTTTCTTGACCTCAGTGCCACTGAGGTTGCAGTCCACTTTATTCACAAACTGTTCTCTAGCCACACTTACATCAACCCTGCACTTGTGCAAGTGACTTTGTTGAAGTCAATTGCAGCACTTGAAGTTTATTGACTTCATCTTGTTAACTTTAATCTACCCTGTTGATTTCTTTGGGGCTGGCAGCCTTCTTGCCTCTTGCACATTTAATGATTATCCTGGGTCATGCCTTGGAATTATTCTGGAATGCCTTGTCTCAGTCCAGATTAGTGTGGCCAGAACTGGAAGTTGGTTGGTTTTCTTGAGCAGAGGCACTGGAAACAACTAGTGTGTGTGTGTGTGTGTGTGTGTGTGTGTGTGTGTGAAGAGGAAAGAGGAAAGAGTTGATGCTTGTCAAGGAAGATGAAAGGAGGCCAGATCTGGATTTCTCCATAGTTCCAGGTCCAAGCTTTTGCCCCAACCATGGTTTAGGAAAAGAGAAGAGCAGACAAGGGAGGGAGGAAGGATGTCTTTCTGTAGTGTTTACCCAGATGTTTTTCTATTTTGGGAGAAGGCTAGCTCCCCAACTATGGTGCTGACTTCCTTTTCTCCTCATTAGGTATCTAAGCCTGGTGGGCCCGCCAGACAGCCTGAATGGAATACCTCCTTCCTCTACCAAGCCCGGAATGGATGTACACAGTTCAATGACGATCTGGCCCTATTACTGGAGTTTTATCCCATGACTCCAAGTAAGTTCCACCTCAAGGCAGAGCAAGACTTCAGTGGCCATTGGCTAGAGTAGCTTACATTTCCTATCTTCCTACAACCATATATGTGATGGCAACAACTCCTCCCCACCCTGGGAAATATAAGATGTTCCCAATAACATGCCCGAGGCCTTCTTTCTTTCAGGCCACAAACTGGATTGAGTTTCTTATCAAGGTAAAGGTAACGGGCCAAGACATAGGAGATACGTGCTTCAATCTTGTATCCAGGCGCACCCCTACTGTGTGCTTAATCCTGTGTCAGGTGCCATGGGAAAGACAGGAGGAAGACAAGACAGAGACCTCTGACTTCAAAGAATTTACATCATAACTAGGGAATCCAGACTCATACAAGAGTCAATGGTGAAGTAGTCAGTCAGTCAATAAATGTTATTAAATGCCTACTATGTGCCAGGCATTGTTCTGAGCCCTGGAAGCACTGTGCTAACCCCCCCCCCAAGACAGTAATCAAGTGCTTATATTATGCATATAACAGGTTGAAATGAGCCACAGGGTCCAGGTGCCTGGGTAGCATAGATTGATACACAGATTTAGGATCTAGAATTTTCCACCCCATCTCCAAGAAAACCAGAGTTCCATCTTCATGACGGGTTGAAGGGTGGTTATGACTGGATGAATGCACCTCTCTCCTATCTTTAAGAGGTATATAGAGCTAAAATTATATCTACATATGACAATCATATCTTTGTAGTCTAGGGGTGCTACACTCTCTTGGGGTTCAGGAAAAAGCCACCTCATTCAGAGGTGAAGAGAAGAGGGATTTAATCTCACCCATAGACTGAGAGGGTAACAGTTTAATCTTGGCTAACATAGTTCCCTTCCCTACATGGTTAGTACACAATAGATAATCACAGATAATGAGCAAACATAGTTATTGAAGCAAGCAGTAAAATGGCAACCTCGGGTAAGTTACATAGATTTGTTCAGACAATAGAAAACAAGCTGGGGGGGGGTCTTTACAACTTGGTAGTGAGGAGAAATTTCAGCTCAACAGAGAACAGGATGGTCTTGCCCATTCTTAGTTTCTAGAGTATAGGTGCTGGGTGCTATGACCTCCCCACATCCTTACAGCATCAGGGCCTCCTATCTGCCATTTAAAATTCTCTTCTCTCTCTTTTTCACTTCTCCCTTTCTTTAATTTTTCTCCCAGAAGTCTTTTAGCCAGTCAGGATTCATATCTCCCTAACATACTTTTTCTATGAAGTTATTATTGGAGAAAAAAAAAGAGTAGAGACTTTCATGTCCAGTTTTAGGGATGAAAAGTAAAAAGAAAGATATAATACTTAACAGGAGAAGTACTAATTATCTGGCAAGTGCCCGGAGAATGGCTTTGGGTTATTCTCTTAAATGAGGCATATATTCTCCCTATCCTTTTGGGAAGAAATGGTAAGATTATACAGAGGGAAGAGGAATAAACTTCCAATACCCAAAGATTTAATGAAGCCTTATTAATGATCATATCTATGCAGAAATATGTGTAGGCATGTATATATTCTACAGCAAGCAATGTTATGAAACTCAAGAGGATAGCTTTTGATGAAATTCTAAGAAAGCAAAACTGTACCTTAAACACATAATTAGAGAGGTTAATCGAATGACAGAGACCAAACATTCTAGAAAGCATTGTAGTAGTTAGTTTTGTTGGCCTTGGGACAAGGCTAGATCAGGCTTGTGTAGGAGGAGACCTCACCATGTTTCCTCTTCTCCTTCCTGCAGTGCCCAAGAAAGAATCCTGGAACCTTATAAAGCCCTTGGGTATCTCTGTGTTGCCACTCAACAACCGAGTTTACCGAAAAATGATGTCAGGAACACCGACTGCACTACATGTGAAAAAGCTCCCCATCTTGGTCAGTCACCCCCACCTGCCTTCTAACTATGCCATGTGTCTCTCCCCTCAGCCTTAGAGTCCCTGCCCAGGACCCTTTTTCACAGAATCATAGAATCTCAGCATTGGAAGGAAGCTCTGAGGCCATTTACAAAACACACACACACACCACACACACACACACACACACACACACACACACACACACACACACGGTCAATCTCTATTTGAAGTTCTCCAGTGATGGGGAATTCACTTCTTCAAAAAGCAGCCCAAACCACTTTCAGATAGCTCTAGATGTCAGGCAGTTTTCCTTGTCACAATCTGAACTCTGCCTCTCAGAAATTCCCATGCAATGCTCCTCGTTCTATTCTCTGGGGCCAAGCAGACCAAGCTTAATCTCTCTTCTTTATGATAGCCCTTCAAATAGTGGAAGGCTACTCTCATATACCCCATTGATCTCCAACTGGCATGTTTCTCTTAAGGATACTGATTCTGGACTCTGGGGGAGGTACCTCCTTGGGACATATTGGCAATTGATCAACAGTATTTATTAAAGTGCCTACTATATGAGAGTCACAGTGCTAGGAGATACAAATGAAAATTAAATATTCCCTACCTTCAAGAAATTTATGTTCTATAGAGGACAACCACCTATGCAAAAATAAGTGTATATAAAATAAATGCATATAGTTTTGGGGGAAGGGGCAGTAGTTGAGGGGAGCAGGAAAAGTAGGATATGGCCCTGAAGCTAAACTTTAAAGGAAATAAGGGAATCTATTAAGTCAAGGAGAGAAGAGAGTTTATCCCAAGCATGGGACACAGCGTAGGCAAAGGCAGAGAAGTGGGAGATGGAACTATTTGAATCCTACTTCACAAGTGTTCGTCTCTGTTTCCAAAGCTCTTTTACCTTCCTTATCTCAGGAAGCAGTTTTGTCAGATTCTCACTTGATCTTAACCAAATCCCAGTGAAGTATAAGGTTCAGGTATTACTAGCCCCATTTTGGAAACGAGGGGCCAAAGCTCTGGAGTCAGAGGAACCACTTTCAAATCCCACCAATGATACTTGGTATGAGTGACCTTGGGTGAGGCATTTAACCTTTTAGGGCCTCAGTTTCTTCATCTGCAAAATGAGGCAAAATATGGTCTTGGAAGGCCTTCCATCTCTAAATGTATGATCTTATGATAACACCCTGGTTAAAGGGAGCCAACTCCTGAACCCAAAAGGTAGAAGCTGGGGGCTCTAGTTGTGTTTTAGAGGTTCCTTTTATTGGGCCTTTGTTCAAATTAATTTGGGTGGGAATACAGATCAAAAGGCCAGAAAACATAACCAGTGGGGGAAAAGACATTCTTGTCAGGTTGGGGAGAGACAGAGAAAAGGGAAGAGCATAATTTCAGTTGAGCATTTGACTAAATTATCTCACAGCATCCCAGTTGACAAGATGTGGGGCAAACCATGATGTAGTGAAATTGATCCAGAGCTGGTTGAACAATCTTACCAGAAGGTATAGAGGCCATGTAGAGTATGGAAAATAAAGACCTTTGAGGATTGAATTCTGGCAGTTCCAGTCTCTTTGTGTGTGTACTGGAGATTTAGCCTGAAAACACATGAGACATCAGGGATCAGAGAGAAAGGTGAGACATGATAGTTGTCTTTAGAGGTCTGTAGGGCTGTTATATGAAAGAGGGATTGATTAAATTTGTTCTGTGTGGCCCCAGAGGGCAGAACTGGGATCAATGGGGGGGGGGAGAAATTACAAGAAGATACAGGAAAGAAGCTAAACGGGGAGGAGTAAGGGATCTACTACTACCACTTACTTCTACTACTACTACTACTACTACTACTACTACTACTACTACTGCTACTACCACCACCACCACCACCACCACCACTACTACCACCATCACCACCACCACTGCTATTACTACTACTACTACTACTACTACTATTTATATAAAATATATCATTATATTATAATGATATTATATATAATAGAAAATAGCAATTGCATAACATTTTAAAGGCTTACAAAATTTTTTTTTACCTATAGATTTCATTTAAGCCTTGCAACAACCTTGGGAGGTAACTTACTATCTCCATTTTACAGATGAAGAAACTCAGGCAGACAGAGGTTAAGTGACTTGTTTAGGGTCACATAGCTAGTAAGTGTTTGAGGCAAAATTCAAACACAGGTCTTCCTGAATCCAAGTCAAACATGCTAGCTATGATTTTAATCCAATGAGATGATATATGTAAAGCTTTTTAAAAAAAAAATAACAAGTAACAGTATTAAGGAAGTCCCCTCAGGTTCTAAGACAATGACAATGGAAGTGTTACCAGTGAAAGAATTCAAATGTAGGGAGGACACTGACAAGATGGAGCATCCCAGAGATTAATTACATAGATTTGAAACTGGAAGAGGCCTTAGAAAACAAGCTAGTTGGACCCTTCCTACAGATGAGGAAACTGAGCCCAAGGAGGTTAAAAGATTTGCCCAAGATCGCAGAGATAGTTAAATGAGTTAATATATCAAAAGCACTCTGCAAACCTTAAAGCCATCATTATATAAATGCTAGCTATAATTATGGTTATTAACAATCAATATCACAGCAAGGATGATCAGGGAGACATGAAATTAAGTTTTATGATAGTTAGTTGAAAGAACTAAGGATGTTTAGCCTGGAGAAGAGAAGCCACAGAGGGGCATGATAGTGATCTTCAGATATTTGAAGGACTTCCTTCCAGAGGAAGGATCATGCTTGCTCCACTTGGCTCCAGAGGGCAGAAATAGAATGCCGTGAATAGAAACTGCAGAGAGACAGATCTTCGAGTCTATAAAATAGAAAGTTTCAGCCATTCAGAGTTGTCCAGAAATTGAGTGAATTGTCAACATACTGCCCATAACAGATAGTCAGTGTATTGTGATCCCTGTCACTCCAGGGGTTAAAGAGATGCCAGATTGGTAGGAATGAGGTAGCTATTGAACATATGAAGTTTTTGCCAACTCAGATTCCGTGAGAAGAAGCAGTCTCTTGTTTAGAGAGCTCCCAGAACCTCATCGCATGAAATGGAGGTGGTATCACGAGACGTGGGAGCCATTTTCAAATACCTCTCCATTATACTTAATAGAGAGTTCTTCCTGTTTCACCAATTGGTAAACAGAGGTCACTTCATGGTCTTAAGTGTCCAGAGTACTCTAGAACCACTCCCCCCATTTCAAAACTAGAATAAAGCGGGGTGAGTGCTAATTCGAGTTTCAGTTCCTTGCCTGATTCGACTTGCTGAACTCATTCTTGCTGGCTTATTGCCTTAGAGAAGCACCTGGTGACAATCCCTAGGGTAGAACTTATTTAGTGGGTGCCCACTACATACAGGACCCTGTGTGTTTGGTGCTAAAGGGAATACAAAAAGTTGGTTACCATCTCCATAAAGCTTGTAGTCTAATGGGCACCAATAATGAAGACTCCTTGATTCGGTGGCTAACTCCCATTCCAATGAGGGTGTTTCTTTCTGAAGTGAGGGAGGTGGGACCTTTGACTAGAGAGAAGATCATGGAGAAAGGAATGAGGGAAGGGCCTGACTCTTAAACCAGTGAGCAGCTTACTATGTTACCTGGTTTATATAGTTGTAGACATTTGGGAGAAAGGATCAGAGCTGGTAAAAGCAAGAGGACAAGGACTGGTCCTGACAGGAAACATGGGGCTGGCTTACATGTACTGATCCTCTGTCCTTTCTTTCCCAGAGAACTAAGCTGAAAACGATTTCAGGTGGAACGCCCACTGTTAACCTTTCTTTCCAAGTAATTTCCTCAGAGGTAAGACCAACTGATTTTTTTCCCCTGAGGCAAAAGATCATCTAGGACTCACAAATTCAGCTCTTCAGATTCTGCTCATGGCCTTTCTTTAGTACTTTTTTGGTTTTCTCCAAAGGTGGAAGGAAATAAGAGGGGGCATGTTGCATAAGTTAGGAGTTGTCCCAGACAATGTTGAGGTCCTAGAGACCCAGAGACAGAAACATGAGGATAAGAAGGTAAGTTAAGAGGGAAGGAAAGCAGAGGTTCACCTAGACCTGGAAGTTCCCTTAAACTTAAGCCACGAGTCCAAGTTCTCCAAGGGAGAATCTCCAATGGAGATTCCGAAGGGGGAATTTGAGTAGAGGCTTTTCGGGTTTTTTTTTTAGGGGGGTGAGGCAATTGGGGTTAAATGACTTGCCCAGAGTCACACAGCTAGTAAGTGTTAGGTGTCTGAGGTCCTATTTGAACACAGATCCTCCTGACTCTGGGTCCAGTACTCTATCCACGGCACCACCTAGCTGCCTCATTGGGGCAATGTTTAAACCTACAACAGAGGTAGAGTTGTTCCTCAATTTCCTAGGACCTTTTCTTATTCTCTCCCCCCATTCCTGTGATGTTTCCCTATGAAGCATTGCTAGGTTATCTCAAAGGGAGGAGACAACTGACTCCAACCATTTAGAGTCTACAGTCCAAACTCCTTGGCTCTCCCAATCTTGCTGTGATGATGCACTTCAATCATGGCCAATTGATCAGCCAATTATCACACTGCTGGGTCCTGATTAATATAAATAATGATTCCTCTGTTCAAATTTCCCCTACATATTTCCATTTTGCTAAAACCAATGACCATATTTTATATAATTTTATCTTCAAATAGTATGAATTTGAATACATACAACCACTTCAGAGAATTCATTATGTGTATGAATAGGAACCTGGCCATACTATGTGCCAGGCACTCTGATAGGCCTTTGTACTTTGAGTACAAAGACAGTACCTGCCCTCAAAAAGCTTACATTCTGTAGGGGGAGACACCACGTACCATAAATAGATAGAAAACAAGGATATGTGCATTTGTTCATCCTTAATTATCTCTATCTTATTGTCCTTTTAATGTGTGCACCCTCCCCCATGACTATCCAGACTGGTTTGGACCTGGATCTGTCACTTATTAGCTGTGTGACTGTGGGCAGGTCACTTCTCTGGGCTTCCCTATCCACGTCTGCAAGATGAGGATGCTAAATAGTGAACTACCTTCTTTATCTCCTGCACCCAATGGCATCACACTGTAACAGGAGATTCCTTTTGACTTTTGACTGACCAGATGATTGGGCAACAGTTCTCAGCTGCCCAAAGCATAGTATAATAGGCTGCAAGTATCTCTTTTTGAATGTGGGAGGCTCAGAGCCCCCCAAGGCCTCATACTAGCTAAACAAAAAACATGTTGAATGAATGAATGAATGAATGAGAGTGAATGAGCACTTGACAGGACATGATAGAGGGAATTCCTACTCACATCTGGGTATAGATCTAGGATGCTTACTTGGGGTCCATGAACCTGGCTTTTAAAAATATTTTGAGAACTCTATTTCACCATTTTAGAACTGTTTTCTTTTGTAATCTTATGTTTTTATTTTATGCATTTAAAAATGTTATTCTGAGAAGGAGGCATATAAACTTCACCAGACACTGCCAAAGGAATCTAGGATACAAGAAAGCTCAAAAATTCCTGGGTTCAATAATTTCTGAGGTCCCCTTTCAAACATCATTTTATGATCCTACGATGCTGGAGAGTGAGTCCTATGACTGAGCTAATGGTTCAAGACTCATCTTCTCACCAAAACAGTTGGTTATTTAAGGGGGAAATAAATCGTTGCAAATGGTTAAGGAACCATTTTTTAATATTGACATGTACAGAACCCCAAGTATCCAACAAACAGTTGTTTGGCTGCATTTTTTCACTCTGTCCATCTTTAGTGCATGCATAAACCCACCCTCAGAGCAACCTTGGTGAAGCCAGAATAAGGTAGAGAACAATGGGGTCTAAATCCAGAACCCCAAAACTCAAAGCCTAAACTGGCTTGCTATGGCCAAGCACTGGGCCACCTTATCTTTTCCAGCTCATGACATTTCCTCTCAGGCTTTACCAGGTAATTTGTCAACTTTGTGGTTAGATAGGAAGCAAGGCCTTGCTATGAGGTGAAGGCCTCTGAATGTTATGTGAAGGGTGGCAGGGAGGAATCTCTGGCCCAATACAGTATGCCTCCCTAATTATGAAATCCTCCCATTAATACCTTTTACATTGGACCAAACAGTCTTAAATTTAGAGTGGGAAAAGGTATTATTAGAAGGTTTTTAAATCTACCCCCTCATTTTACAGATAAAGAAACTGAGGCTCAGGTGACTTGTCAGAGTCATGTAGCCAATAAGGGATTTCAATTCAGGTCTTCCTGATACCAAGTCCAGAGCTCTACCCATTGCACCACAATGCCTCTCAGTTTATAATTACCTTCTCTGGGTTCTGTCATTTCTCTCAGAAGGGGGAATTCATTCAGTCCTAACCTCCTCTAAGATGAGTGAGTTTATCATGGGCTTTCCTCCATCAGCTGTCCAGGGCTGCCCAGGGGGCCTGACTGGGTGAGGAGTCCAGATCCTGAAAAGGAAGAGTATGTGCAGAAATAAGATGGGAGAGTACCAAGCACAGACTTGGCCATGTTCCCAGCTTTGCTATAGGCTGATTCTAACCTAGAATTAGGACACTCTTTTCTTGGAGTGCAGTCTGTTTTGGGATCAGCTCTGCTTCTTAGCCTCTTCCTCCTCTTTCCCTCTTCCTCTCCCCAAATGTCCAGATGTCTCCTAGGAGTGTATTGGAGACTGGGTCATGTTTTCTTTCACCTTCAGGGAATGCAAGTTAGTTCAAGTCGGCAGTGCTGGGGAGATGGAGAAGGGGAGAGAGGTCTGGCCAGTGCTTGGCATAATTGCCCAGGGGTCTGGGCACAAGGGGGTCTCCATGTGATGAATTATTCACCGAACCAGCTCTAAGTGCAGAATTAATCCCTTTCCTTCCAGCTGGCAGCCTCACTAAATTATCCCTCCTAGTCATGTGGGAAAATGCTACCCAATTCATTTCACTGATGACTGTTTTGATCTGGGACTTGTGATTTTTAGCTCTCCACTCCTTCCTTCCCTCCTATAGCCACCCCACCCCCACACCCCACCCCCTGCAGGCACAGCCCTCTCTTGGAGGAATCTCAAAGAAAAAAGATAACCAGGCTGGGGGTGGAGGTGGCGTACTAGGACAATGACATTAGGGCCATTCCAGTCCCTTAGAAGGGCATTCATGAACCACACATTCATGCACACACACATGCATACACATGATTTATATGTATGTGTGCATATATAAATACATATTTATGCACAAAACCATTCATGTGTCCTCACACATGAGGATACACTCACATACACATGTATGCTTATACATTATACATATATATTCATAAATACATGTCTGTAAACACTCCTTCAAAAATACTCACAAGTCTGCTCACACTCACATATACATATATACACACATACACAGCAACAATCCCACAATCCACATCTATAATTGTACATACACAATTCCTACCCACCAACATACTCCTCATTAACACACCTATTCATACACATAGAAATATTTATACCCTCATACTCAGACACAAATGCAGAGATAATGTTTGTATTCCTAATAAATACATACAAAGACACACATATATTCTTACTGACACATGTGCATGCATTCATATGTACACATAAACATTGAACTATTCAACAGACATAACTATCTCTTTGGTAACTCAGATGGTACTTCAGGATGTCACAGGTTCTCAGCATCATCACTGTGCTATACACATTTCATACATATATACATGTGTATATATACATATCTTAGGACATTCTGTATTATGTATTACCTATCTTCAAACATGTATATCCTTCAGTCCTCTCTCGGTATGTTATCCTGTCCCCTTATGTTTGTTATTAGTGTTATATTTTCCCCTTATTTTTTTGAGATAACTTCCTTTGTTTGAGATATTCTGTCCTCTGATGTTTATAATGGAAGATACGCTATTTTGTCCGTCTCTGGGTTGGGCTGAAGTGAATTCCTTAAGCTCACACAATTACTAAGTATCAGAACCCAAACCTAAATCCACGTCTCCTGATTCCTAGAGAGTGTAGTTGCTGCTTATTATTATTTTCATCATGGAGTCTGGGTACATGTCTTGTTCTGGGGTGTATGTTTGCCATAGAAACCTTTCAGCCTGGGCTGGCCCAATGGTTGCTCCACTCTTGGAGTTAGAGCTAGCCTCTCCCTTTTGCCTTCAACCCCTAGGAGAGTAGGATTAGGGTGAACTGATTCTAAGTCTACTTAGAGAAATGCCCTGGTGTTTTCCTCAAACTGCTTTCAAAGCTCTTTCTGGAGAGTGGGTGAGTAAAAAAAAAAAACCCTCCATTGGCATTTTCCAAACTTTGAGTGGAGGAGGAAAGAGAGATTTTATGATTTTTTTTCAAATCCATATCTAGCAGCCCCTGTGCTCAAAATGGTCCACAAACACAAACCAGTAGGCTCTTCCCACACTAGATGGACATTCACTTCCTTAGACATACAGGTCCAGGATATCGTGTCATCTATCCTGAATGCAGAGAAATAAAATGAATGATCTTTAAAGGACTTCCCTTGCCAGGCTATGAGATTCCACCCTAAGCCCACTGCTCAATTCACAATCTCCCAGGACTGAAATCTCATCAAGGCAGGAAAGATAGCACATGTGCTCTCTCTCTCTCTCTCTCTCTCTCTCTCTCTTCTCTCTCTCTCTCTCTCTCTCTCTCTCTGTGTGTGTGTGTGTGTGTTGTGTGTGTGTGTGTGTGTGTCTCCCCCACTCTGTCTCTGTCTCTGTCTTTGTTTCCCATCATCCTCCCAGTCCAGATGGTGGAAGAGAAAGAGAATGGGCCAATCCATTCCTACTTTCTCCCATTCA